AAGGGGGCAAATAAATCACAATTCTAGCCCCTTGCTGAATCCTCGGAAAGCTCCTAGAACCAATGGACATACACTGAAGAGTTTGTCTCTGTAAATCCTAAGAAAGTTTGAGACACAAGAGAAAACAAGGAGGAAGTTGCTTAATTTTTAAACACTTTGTTAATTTTCTTTATTCACAACAAGGAAGTGAGCAAGATGTTTTCGTTGTCTAGAACCTTTTGACTGTTATTTTATTCAATGTGGCTTTCCCCAGGCTGGAGGGACCCATAAGGCAAATGAAGAAATGGTCAAAAACTTGACTTTGAAGTTTTTTGTCCTGTCATTTTTTTTTGCTTCTTTTCCATGTTACTCATAACATTTTCCCAAAAAGCTCCTATATGTCCTCATATTTAACAATTTCATTTAAAGTCTGTGAGGATCCTCACACTAGGCCTTCTGCCTTCTCTCTGCTTTCATTTTTCTATCTTCTCCACTATTTTATCCTTCCTTCTCTAAGATTGATTTTCTTTTCCCATTGAAAGGCAGAATGACACAAAGAGAGGAGAGATATTCCATCTGCAGTGGTCGAGTCATTGCAGTCAGAGGCCCAACTCCATCAGGGTCTCCCATGTGGGTGACAAAAATCTAAGTATTTGAGCCATCACCTGGTACCACGCAGGTATCTTAGCAGGAAGCTGGATCAAAAGCAAAGGCACTAGGACTCAAGTAGCACTTTGATTTGGGGTGCCAGCATTCCAAATAGCAAGTTAACCCACTGTGCACAGTACCCATTTTTACCACCATGTCTTCTTACTTTTCCCCATGAACATTCCTAGCCTCTTCACTGCCTGAGGATAGAAGGAGAATTCAAAGATGCTGAGGGTAACTTGGTGGCATGAGTAGGACCTGCCTTCTGTGAATGTTGGTATAAAATTTAAAATCCTGGCTGTCTTTGTAAGATTAGTGACATCTTATGTTAGTACGCGTAATGCTGTGTAGTTCACAAAAATTTTTTAGTATCTATTATTTCACTTTCACCTTAACCACAATGCTTTGAGTTTCACTGAACACTGCAGACTAGGCTTATTGGTCATTCTCTTCTGTTGGAATTAACGTTTAAATATTTACTAAGTAATTTTCATCCAGTATTCCAAGAAATGCTTCCAGCAGAATAATTTGCTCTCTTCAAATCTGAAAGAAGTAGGTAGGGAGAGAAATTTTGAGAAAGAACAGAGTAAGAAAAAAGATCATTGCCAGAAAAGTCTGCCTCATTCCCCTATAAAGACCTGCCAAGATACAGAAAACACAATTTTTTCATGTTTTAACTCCTACATTTTGTGAAAGTAAGGAACCATTATAATGCTACAAATTTGAGGTGATATTAGTGAGTATTTTATAATTTAAAGCAAGTAAGACATGTGATCACACTTCAGAAAGTACATGGGAAATGGAACTAACAGACAAAGTTATCTTGGTACGGAAGAAGTTGAAATTCATGCAGTGTTTTAATCATGTGCATATTTATGAAAACACTCCACTCATATTTAATAACTAGGGTAATTTTTTTCCTCTGTGTATGTGTGTGTCTGTGTGTTTTAAGACTTATTTCTTTAATTTGGGCCTAGTACAGTAACCTAGTGGTTAAAGTCTCACATGTGCCAGGATCCTATATGGGTGCCGGTTCTAATCCTGGCTGCTCCACTTCCCATCCAGCTCCCTGCTTATGACCTGGGAAAGCAGTCCAGGACAACCCAAAGCCTTGGGACCCTGCACCCATGCATGGGAGATCCGAAAGAACTCTTGGCTCCTGGCTTCAGATCAGCTCAGCTCCAGCCATTGTGGCCAGCTGCGCAGTGAGCCAGCAGATACAGGATATAGTATAACTTATATTATTTCTAAATGTTAAATTTTGTAAGTCAGCATGGAAAAATGTATTTGTTCCAAGAGATGGTTTGCCTCTGGTTTCCTACAAGCCAGGACTGTTTGTAGTGTGGCAAGTGGGTGGCCTGCTGTGGCCACATTGCGGACTCCTGACACAGGATGAACGGTGCTGAGCTCTTTAGATGAACTGTGCTCCTCTCCATGGCCTACGTGTACACACATCTTTTCTGTTCTCTCTGCCTTGCCTCCAACTCCAGAGCTCATTATTACCTCTCCCACAAGAAGTGTTCTGACAAACTGGTTGATTCAGTAACTTGGGTCTTCTTGGTGGCAAGAATGGGATAAATTTATTTGTGTAAGAGGCAGAGAGGCAACAGAACACTTCCCTTCCCTTGTCCACGCCTCAAATGCCTGCACCATCCCGGTTAGGTCACAGCTAAAGCCAGGAGTTAAGAATATAATGTGGTTCTCACATGGGAGTGCCAGGAATCGATTTACTTGAGCCATCCCAATGCCTGCATTAGCAGAAAACTAGAGCCTGGAGCAGGAGCTGGGAATGGAACCCAGGGACTCTAAAATGGGAGGAGGATGTTTTAATGAGCACCTTCCCTGCCAAGACAAATGTCCCCCTCAGAATGTGATAAATGTTGACTGTGGTTGGGGCTTACCTATGAGGTTTAATTATTTCATCACCCGTAAGTGTGGAAGTTTTATAGGCAGCCAAAATCATAGGGAAAACATCCATTCATTAATATTTAAATTATAATTTCTAGTTCAGAAGTGAAGGGAAATCTGTATATTTTAAATACCAGATCTTACTTAAAAATTGGGCTTATGTATTGGAGAGGAGGAAAGAATTTTTGTTTAGATTTATTTATTTTTATTAGAAAGTCAGATATATAAAGAAGAGAAGAGACAGAAAGATCTTCCATCTGCTGATTCACTCCCCAAGTGGCCACAACAGCTGGAACTGAGCCAATCCAAAGCCAGAAACCAAGAACTTCTTCTTGGTCTCCCTTGCAAGTGCAAGGTCCCAAGGCTTTGGGCCATCTTCAACTGCTTTCCTAGGCTACAAGAAGGGAGCTGGATGGGAAGTGGGTCAGTCAGGACATGAACCGGTGCCAATACAAGATCCCGGCACATGCAAGGCAATGACTTTAGCCACTAGGCCCAGAAAGAATATTTTTAAGAAAGGGAATGAGACCTCTGAAAGCAGAAAGAATGGGCTGAGAATTCACTGTGCATGTAAGATTATTAAGAAGTTATGTTAAAGAATCAAACTATACCATTTGCAACTAGATGGTCCCAACTAGAGACCATTATGCTCAGTGAAATATTATTATTTCATTATGCTCAGTCAATCTCTAAAGGAGAAATACCATATGTTCTATCTGACTTAAGGCAGCCATCATACAAATTGGAATGTATAGTGGTGGAGTAATGGAGACCACCATATCCAGATGTGAAGACACAATGCAACATGGACCCCTGCTTTCAAACAAAAGATGGACTCCCAGTGAAAGTATTGGACATATCTAGACGATGGGATGATGGACTGTCTGACATTGTCTGTAACAGCAATGTTGGGGCACACATAAATAGCAGACTGATGGAAGTGTAACTCCTTATGAAAAAATGTACTGTGACAATATGGGAAAAATCAGTCTTGAGGATGGGGAATCCCAGATTTTACAGAATTGTATGATAAAATTCAAAATTTAAAATAAAAATTTATAAACAAAGTATGTTGTGGGGGCTGGCACAGTGGCATAGCCAGCTAATCCTCCACCAGCAACACTGGCATCCCACATATATTCAACTTGTGCTGCTCCACTTCTGATCCACTTCCTGCCTGTGACGTAGGAAGGCAGTGAAGGATGGTCGAAGGCCTTCAGACCCTGTACCCATATGAGAGAGCCAGAAAAAGCTCCTGGCTCCTGTCTTTGAATCAGCTCAGCTCAGGATATTGTGGTCTGGATATTGTGGAGTGAACCAGTGGATGGAGGACCTCTTTGTCTGTCTCTTCTCTCTGTTAAAAAAAAAAAATCCACCTTCCGACTGAAAATAAACAAATCTTTACAAAAAAAAAAAAGTGTTTGGCCAGAGCAGCAGACTAAAAACCTAAAGTGAGGCCAGACTAAGAAAGGATTTGAGAAGTCTTCACAGGAGCACTGGTAGAACCTGATTCAGTGGAAAGTAGGCCATGGATTAGACTTCTGGGAAGAACGTCGTGACACAACTGTTGGGGAAGGCTGGGCCAGGCAGCAAGCCTGCAGGAGCCAACAGATGCAGATGGGCACTTGCTGGTAGGACTAGCTCTAGGGCAACTGGTTTCTTGGATTGGTGGTTTGCCCCTTGCAGCAAAGACTGAATTTGGTTTTCCATCATACCTTGAGAAAATTTTAAGGCAGGAATAGAGCAAGAAAAGGAAATCAATTCTTTGGAGAACACTGGACAGTGTCCCAGGCAGCTGTAGAAGCTTTACATACCACATTGTGCTAAGCCCACACAAAACAACTAACTTGCAGTTGCTGTTATTATCCCTGTTTTTTTTTTTTAATTAATTTATTTTTATTGGAAAGTCAGATATACAGAGGAGGAGAGACAGAGAGGAAGATCATCTGCCTGTTGATTCAATCCCCAAGTGACCACAACAGCTGGTGCTGAGCTGATCCTAAGCCAGGAGCCAGGAACCTCTTCCGGGTCTCCCACATGAGTGCAGGGTCCCAAGTCTTTGCGCCATCCTCGACTGCTTTCCCAGGCCACAAGTAGGGAGCTGGATGGGAAGTGGAGCTGCTGAGATCAGAACTGGCACCCACATAGGATCCAGGAATGTTCAAGATGAGGACTTTAGCCACTAGGCCACGCCGCCAGGCCCTATTATCCCTGTTTTTAAGAGGAGGATCTTGAAGTCCCTTGGCTTTGGTCCTACAGCCATGAAATGATAGGGTCAACTTTCAAACCCATGTCTGACTTTGGTGCTCTTGGTCTTTCATATACCAAGGAGCTTTCAGCGCCTATTGGTAAAATAAAATGCTTCTGTCGGTAAGTCAGGTTCAACATTTAACAAAATGCGTCACATGCTGTGCTGTTGTCATTTTAACCCCGGAACACTGACCATATACTGTGTGTCTTTTCAGTTCTTCGGCTCTCTATGTAAGGCGGAGCAGGCACACTCCCTCGATCGGTTCCAGAAGACCCGAAGAAGCTGCCTTATCTCCGGTGCTATCTCCTGTTGAGGACGCTGAATTACCTTCTTACGAACAGGCAGTGGCACTGACCAGAAAACAAAATGTTTCACCACCACCACCATATCCTGGGTCACCAAAGAGTTTTAGGGTATTTAAAAAGTCGATGTCACTTCCATCTCACTAAACCCCGTCTTGTCATCTGTGTTATCTGAGTGAGTTGTTCACTCTGAAGCAGGACAGCAGTGTGTCTGCACAGCTGTTTATAAAGCTTCGACAAGAAATGAAGGACACGCTCCACTCTATAAGTCTGCCTCCATCTCGGACTTCAGCCTGATCAACCGCAGCTCAGCACACAGACTGCGATGCCATACCCTCGTACCCTGGCAGTTCAGGAGAAAGTACCTTTTGTGGGTAATGTTTGATGGTTTAAAAAGTCTTTGTTCTAGATAGCATAATTAGAATGTTAACTACTAGTATCTTTTGTACAGATGTTATAAATTTCATATGTTAAATATTTTGAAGAATTTCTGTTCATGAGATTATCCCCAGTCATGATATTAGACCCACTCTTTTGGTTGAAAATACAGAATTTGACATTTCACTGTGAAAGTGTGGCCTTAATATAATCACTTGCCTTAGGTTTTAGATTATGACATAACACTCACTGTAGTTTACAGACTTTTTTTCTGAAGCTTTACCATCAGCCATGCTTTGCTATGAGGAGTGAAATCAGTAATTTTCTTTTTCTGAAAAGTGCTGTTTTGATGTGAAGGTGGGTCTTCAAAGAGTACAGGCTTGCAATGGCAAATATATGCGAGGGCTGTTGTGCTAGCGAACAAATAATAGTCCTCCAGTCTAGAAGTGACTAGTACTTTATATTCTTGCCACGTTACTGATGAGTGTGTCTTCAGTGCTCAATCTGCATGGCTATATTATCTACATGTACTGAGGGTCCTTCAAAAGTTCAAGGAAAATGAAATTAAAATATAAGCTTGTTTTGGCTCAAGTAATCTAATTTGAAGTCCACATATAGCTTTTTCCTAACTGTGTTTCCCATTACCTTTTTTTAAAATACCTTGTATATAATTAAATATGACTATTTATAAAATTTGTTGAACTGTGTAAATACTACCTTTGAATATCTAGAAAAAGCAATGTGGTTTTCTGCTATTTAAATTATATTGATGAAAGTTATCAAAAATCTCTTGGATCTCTTAATAATTCTGAACAGGAAAAAAAAACACCATTTGTAGTCATTTTAAACCATACTTTGCTAGTTTTTCTAATCATATTTATGACTAGTTTTTCCTTAAGGTAGCATGGCATAAGCTATCAACCTCTGGAATATGTGTTCACAAATCTATACAAACAAATATGTGTGTATGTATAAATTTGTTTCCTCTTTATAGGAGCTTAAGAAATAAAATGCTCCTAAAAATTAAACTAGAGAATTCTGTTGTCTTGCCAGGCATTGCATTTTCTTTTATTAGGGATCACTTACAGAATGTTGTTTCATTTTATAATTTTTACACAAATGAAACCACAAACCCATATGCATTTGATAATCCCTTCCAAAGTAAATGTGTATAAAGTATATATTGAAGCAAGGGGTTCACCTACCAATGAAGATTCCAGTCAAGACGTCCACATCCCATATGGGAGTCCTGGTTTGAAACCTGGCTCTGGCTCTTGACTCCAGCTACCTGCTAATAATGCAGACCCTTGGAGGCAGTGGTTATGGCTCAGGTGACTGGGTTCCTGCCACCCGCGAAGGAGGCTTGAACTCAATTCCCAGCTTCAACTTAGCCTAGTCCAGTCCTTTTAGATATTTGGGAGTGAACCAGCAGATGGACACCCACAGTGCTTATCTTTACGTAAGCACTTTCATTTATTCTCTTTAAAAGATTACGAGTAAACTCTATTTTGCCTACCTTGTAATAATTAAACCAGTGCAGAGAAAACCCAACTTGCCCAAAATATAACAGGTTGGTGTTATAAAAAAAAGATTCAATAAATCTTTGGCAGATCAGTTTTTAGGTTACTAATTTTGCATGGTCTCCGAATGATGTTATAAAATATCTAGATGGTCTGTAGCAATAACACGGTTTCCCACTAGAGCAATAAACTGTCCTCCTCCATTAACTTCTAAAATTCCAATCAACTTTTTCCTGTTTTTCAGATATGTGTGTAGAATTTTCTTTAACGCTAAACCATATGTTAGTGCTTAATAAAGCCTCAGTTTCATGTTGTTTATGTTTTAATTTAATGTGAATTAGATTTTGTTGGTTATTAGCATGATTTGAAATGTTATATGCGGCATTTATACTATTAGAGAAATATCTAACATTTCCGTTATTTTTTGAAATCATATTTTTTTTTCAGATCCTACCTATGTTGTCCCTTTGTAATATGCATGACATGCATTGATCACTTCAATAGTCTGTATTGAGTGTTTCTGCCAACCTCGTTTTACTTAAAAATGTTTCCCTAATGATTTAGAAATTTAAGGTAATCCAACAGAAGCATATCAGTATTTTCATTATTTAGGAAAAACAACCATTTTCATACGCATATTTTCCAAAAGCCTAAATGTTTTTAATATATAAACTTTTTATACATATAAATAAACTTCATGCTAAGTAATCATTGCTCGTTTGCTTTAATTAAACATTCTTTTTCCTCATGACATATAATGACAAGTGCAATTCTACGAATTAAATCGGAGCGAGCATGTTTTCCCAACGACATTTATAATATGATGTAGCTACACATTTTTCACCCAGTAGGTCTAACATTTCATTTAAACAATTAGTTGCTCTTGTGTAGGTATTGTTTTTTTCAATATCGTTTTAATTCATTTAAGGCAAACATAGCATATAACTCCTTAAAATTAACCTTATTTCTATGGCCCATAGCTAAACATAATTAAAAACATAGAAGAAAACATAGTACTAGTATATTAAGTTATAGAAATAACATAGTATTACCACATTAATAGAAATTTATCAGGGGCCTAGGCAGTGATACAGTATGCTAAACCCCTGCCCTGTGGCACCAGCATCCCATATGGGCACCACTTCTAGTCCCAGCTTCTCCACTTCCCATCCAGCTCCCTGCAAAGCAGCGGAGAATGGCCCAAAGCCTTGGGACCCTGCACCCACGTGGGAGACCCGGAAGAGGTTCCTGGTACCCGGCTTCAGATTGGCGCAGCACCGGCCGTTGCGCTCACTTGGGGAGTGTGAATCATCGGATGGAAGATCTTCCTCTCTGTCTCTCCTCCTCTCTTTTTATCTGACTTTGTAATTTAAAAGAAAAAGATTCTCTCTCTCTCTCTCTCTTTCCCTTTCTTCCTGGGTCAATGTGCCTTTCAATTAGTAAGTAAACTTAAAAAATATATTAACACTTAATGCCTCTTAAAAATTTTTAACAAGAGGGCCCGGCGGCGTGGCCTAGCGGCCAAAATCCTTACATTGAACGCGCCAGGATCCCATATGGGTGCCGGTTCTATCCCGGCAGCCCCGCTTCCCATCCAGCTCCCTGCCTGTGGCCTGGGAAAACAGTCGAAGACGGCCCAAGGCTTTGGGACCCTGCACTCATGTGGGAGACCCGGAAGAAGTTCCTGGATCCTGGCTTTGGATTGGCATAGCATCGGCCATTGTGCTCACTTGGGGAGTGAATCATTGGACAGAAGATCTTCCTCTCTGTCCTCCTCTCTGTATATCTGACTTTCCAATAAATAAATAAATCTTTAAAAAAATTTTTTTAACAAGAATGTATACAAATAAATCGTAGATTAAGAGAAACTATTTTTGAGTCATGTTTGATAAACTGTCATCTAAAATATACAAAGGACTCTTAAAGCTGCACAATTAAAACGCAAATCAATTCAAAATGGGCAAAGGACAGGCACAGACGTTTCACCAAAGAAGTTATACAGATGACAAATAAGCACAGTAAAAGATGCTCAACACCAAGTATTGTTTGAGCCAGGGAGCTGGATCTGAAGGGGAGCAGTCAGAACACACACGGGCACTCACCTGACATCAGAGGCAGTAGCTATGCCACATTTCAATCCCTTGCCTAGTGATTTTTAATGTATGTAATACATTGTTATTTATAATAGTTACCATGCTGTACAATAGATGTCTTGCACTTTTTCTCCATATGACTGAAATTTTGTGTCCTTTGCCTAACATCACCCCAAGCCCCTAATTCTTAATAACCATAGTTCATTCTACTTCTGTGACTTTCAATTTTTAGGATCCATCTATAAGTGAGATGATACAAATTTGTCCTTCTGGACAAATTGCTACGCTAGTTTCCCATGGCTACATAACAAACTCCCACAAGTTCAGCAGCCTCAAAGCAGCCACATTCCACACTTTCTGTCAGTCAGGAGTCTTGTCGGAAGGATTTCATGAGAATGCAATCAAGGTGATGACCAGGCTATGTGTCTTCATCTGAAAGCTGTCCTGTGGAGTAATCCATGTCAGGTTCACCCAGGCTGCTGGCAGAATATTGCACAGCTAGGGCTGAAGGCTGGAGGTAATACACCAACCATGCCCAGAGGCTGCCTGCAGTTCCATCCCACACCAGCTTTCCCTAGCTTGACCCTTTACTTCAAACCAGCAGAGAAATCACTGAAGTATGTCTGCTAGAAAAAGATGGAATATTTGCACAATGTGATCACAGGAGTGACATCCCATCACCTTTGCTATATTCTGCTGGTTAGAAACAGGCCATAGGTTGTATCCACACTCAGTGGGAGCAGATTCCACAAAAGCATGAATATCAGGAGTGAGAGATCACTGAGGGTCACCTTAGGGTATGTCTACCACAAACCCCTATCTTGTGAAGTTCCTAGGCCAAATGCCTTACATATGTTCCTTCTTTCCATAGGAGTATATTGCAAAGTTTTCAACTATGAAATGCGATTAAATGTAAGTTAAAGGGTCAGGCATGTGGGGTAGCCATCAAGTCACCACTTAAGATGTCAGTTTTTCATGTCACAGCACCTGTTCAAATCTCGCTGTGTTGCTTCTAATCCTGCTTCCTGCTAACGAGCACCATGGAAGGCAGTAAATGGTGGTTCAGCCATTGCAGCCACTTGGGGAGTAAACTAGCAGATGGAAGATCTCCTTGTTTCTCCCATTGTATGACTCTGTCTTTCAAATAAAGAAACAA